CACTCCTACTTACCAGGAGTGACAGTCACCTCCTCCTGTGTCTCTCTCATCTTCCCTCAGGACTGGCTGAGGCAGTCATGGACTCAGGGCAGTGATCAAGAGAAAAGACCAAGGATTCAAACAGAAATAATGTCTTTACGCAAAGCTCCCGGGTGGTCTTTGGGGGAAGGAAGCAGGAGCGACCACAGGGGACGTTTGTCTGTAATCAAATGGGAGATGAATGGAGAGTGAGTTAAGATTACCCTGTTGGCCTTGATTTCAGCCCATATGAAAAATGGTAGGTTGTTTATTACAGCACATGAGGAGTGTCTTTTGTTAACTTCTGTCCCTGGAGTATAACCCCTTCCTTTACAAAGTGGAACAGAAAACCCAAGCAAAGGCTAGCCTTCCACCACGAGCCTTCTCCCACTGGGCAGGCCCTATGGAGTCCTAGCTTTACCTACCGTCCTGCTTGCTTCCAGACAGTGGTTTGAAATAACATCCATGGCCTGCAAGGCCATACCCAATTCTGGCTAACGGAATGTCATCAGAGTCCTGCTTAAAACTGATGCCCAGACTTGGGTAGCATTGACAGTGTGAAAAGCAACCCATTCCTTATTATCAAAAAAGAAATCGGGTGGAAGAAAAGTGATCTAATAGTTCAAATTCTTAGAGTTAAGAAAATGGCTATGTTGAATGAATGAGCCCATCACCGAACTGATCTGGAACATTTGAAAAAGTTACCTTTTCTCTTCTCTTTCAGACAGGCAAGTGGTTGTGGAATGGGGTAGGCCACTTCAGAACCCCTGGGGTGTGACCAGCCCCTGTTAACTGAAGGGAAAAAAAGCAAAGATTTTCAGTGTGGAGATATTTCTCGTGTTCTTTTATCTACTTGTTCTTCTTCCCCAGTTTTAAAAACTGACCATCTATCCCAGCCCTTTTCAGTATTCACCACAGGAATCCTTTCCTACAAATTTAGCACTTTGTCCCCACTGGATTGCCTTAGATAAGATGTTTAGTATTAGACACATTAACATTTAGGTGTACACAGTAGACTTAACATTATGTGAGTTTCAAGGAACAAAATTTTCTATGAGA